AAATGTCACCCCCTATCCCAGTCAGTGACAGGTTCACACTATCTTGACTTTGCTGTTTTCTTCCTCCCTTAGAAACAAAGCTTATAATTGGTAAAAGGTAGAAGCCCACTTTTTCTTTAGTAAATTAAGTGAGGACAAATGCAAGGTGTATTTCTGGGGTCCCCCTAAAGGATACAATTTAGACTTGTGCTCTGTGAGACAATAACATTTGTAGCACAGGGGGTAAGGTGTTTGCCTTGCGTGCGGCCAACCCAGGTTCAATTCCGCCATCCCTCTCGGAGAGCCCTGCAAGCTACGAGAGTAGCCTGCCTGCACGGCAGAGCCTGGCAAGCTCCCTGTGGCTTATTCGATGTGCCAAAAACAGTAACAACGCGTCTCACAATGGAGACGTTACTGGTGCCCGCTCGAGCAAATTGATGAACAACGGGAGAACAGTGAGTGCTACAGTCTCAGTGAGATAGAAAGTGTTTCAGCAATTTGCTATACATTCTTTATAACTTTCCAATTTTCTTTCTGGGTTTTATTTGAGGTAGAAGAGCAATACTCACATTCTTAAGTTCCCCCTAAGAATGGGGAAAACTAATACTGTGAACAAGGGTTGGAGAGACAGGGCAGTTAGAGCAAACATGATGCTTGAGAGATAGCATAAGGTCTGGGTCAGACTGATGATGGAGAGGACTCTAGGGTCTTCACACTAAATGGTGAACAAGTTACTACCAGAGATAACGTAGCCAAACACTTCAGCTATCAAGCTATTCCAAAATGGAGGAGAGCATTTTCCATGTAGAGAGAAGGGCACTGATTATTACCTGAATATTGCTAAAATGCCCATAAAACCTACTTGAAATTCTTTTTACTATTAATTTCAACAAGGGTGCTGAAACTCTTTTCACACATAATAAAGCTAATTTTTATGTTTAATAATGTTATCTTTTTTTCAAAATTAGTCAAATAAAAGCCTAATTAAATTTCAAAGTTAATAAAACTTTGTTAATATTTCTTTGGGACTTCTGTTTGGTGCTTGAAATAGTCTCATTTCAATCCCCTTATGTCATATGGGCTCTTAAGTGCTCACTATTTTCCTCTTAGACATACCTCAGTTGTTTAGAAAATGTAGTATTTTTGTGGCAAGTTTTCATTTATAGAATCTGCTCTCACGTTTTTAACTAAATGCTCAGAGTTTATATTGTCTTGATGAACACAAATGCTTGCTTTTAGAAAAAATGTCGCTATTATTTATAAAGGGCTGGAGCGATAGCACTTCGGGTAGGGCATTTGCCTTGCACACACAGCTGACCTGAGTTCAATTTCTCTGTCCCTCTCAGAGAGCCCGGCAAGCTACCAAGAGTATTCTGTCTGCACGGCAAAGCCTGGCAAGCTACCCGTGACATATTTGATCTGCCAAAAACAGTAACAAGTCTCACAATGGAGATGTTACTGATGCCCACTCGAGAAAATCAATGAACAACAGGAGGACAGTGCAAAAGTGCTATTATTTATAAAACCTTTACTAATACCTCACCCTCAGCTAAATTTTAAATATTATGTCACTTAATTCTTGCAACAGTAATATAAAGTTGCACTAGTATTAACTGCATTTTGCAGATGAGGAGATGTAGATTTAGAAATATATTTTAATAACTTTAAAACTTAAGGTCTTTAATTTGAGTCAATAAATGATATAGCTCTCATTAAAACTATTTAATATAGAATCCAAACTCATTCTCTGATAGGGTACAACTTAAACTGGTTTTGTAATTGATTCCTAAATTTCTCATTCTCTAACTTTACCTGTGCCCAATTCAAATATTACAGACCTCTGTCCCATTATCACTTGCTCAGCGTCTTCAGCCAGTTTGCTGACAGATAGATGATGGATATAAAGGTGAATAGATAAATAGATGGATAGATAGACAAATGGATGGGCAGATAGATGATATCATCTATGCTGCTTGTGCGTTTTGGACTTAAAATTTTCTGCCTACTTTTTCAGCTGTAGTGATTGTAAGATCCTCTAAAAAAGAGATGACCTTACTAAGTGTCATTTCTTGATAAATAAAGCTCTTCTGCTGTTGACTTGATTCATCATCACACTGATATTTAGTGTCAGTCCTTATAAAGGACTTATAAAGGGAAACAGGTGGCTGGTAACATTGGACATATTCCCGTTGGCAGAGGTGGGGAAATGGCAACCGGCAATTTAATTGAAGCCTGATGTTTGCAGAACCACTTTCCTCTTAAAAATTATTTCCAAATGAGAGGAAACCAAAATAGAAAGTATTTTAACTTCTTCCTGTGTCACGTACATTAAGCTCTCGCAGAGGAGACTCCCCCTTTCTTTGACTCAACTACAGCATTTGCATGCTCCTGAGTTCATAATCAGTCCCCCAAACTAAAACACGCAGGTGTTTAGTCTATCAGGGCTAGTCAATGTTTTTGTCAACTTTTTAAACAACTTCCCCCACAATCACCAACACTCTCCAAATAGAATCTGCTGACTTCAATGGCAGGGTCAGTGTTACTGAGTGACTCATTGCCGGGTAGAACAAACAATTCAACAAAGGCAACTTCAAGAGAGAAAAGCTGTTTCCTTATTGCGAGTGAAAGCTAGATTTTTCACAGCAGAGAACTAAAAAGCCTGGGGGTTCAGGGCTCTGCTGTCTGGATGGCCTCAAGAAATACACACACCCTCTAACAACTCTCTCCCTCCCCTAACTCTCCCAACTCCTAGAGTGCACCAGATGCATTCAGTTCCTCAGTGAAAATACTCCTGAACCTGATCCAGTCCAGCTCTAACCCACGCCACTTCCCAGAAGCTAGCCTTGCCAAGGTCTCCAGTAACATGCTCTCTGCCAAAACGAAATGGCACTTCTCCATCTTGATGCTCCTTGACCTATGTACAGAATTTGACACTGTTGATAACCAATTACACAACTCTCTCTTCTTAGCTTCTGAGACTCTTTCCTCATTTAGGCTGCCTCTCACCTCGTCTGCTTTAGGAACCCTTCACCCCTCTTCCTCTAGCTTCCACTTTCTCTGGGGTCCCCCCATATTGTATTGCAAGGTAGCTGTTCTATGTCAGACTGACTCACTGACCAGCAGAGGCCACACATTATCCAGGCTGGATTCTTTGTACCTAGACAGTGCTAATACATTCTATTTGACTGGAAGAAAAATCCAGAACCAATTCATATTAAACAGAAATTTATCACCCATCTTTGACTTTTCCCAAACCTCACATCTATGTGTTAATAAGAAACAGTGATAAATAACAAAGCTCCCAAATAAAATCCCTCAATGATTGGTTGTTTTCTTTTTCTTTTTCTTTTCTGTTCTGGGTTGGAGTGATAGCACAGCTGGTAGGGAGTTTGCCATACACGCCGCCGACCCGGGGTTCGATTCCTCCGCCCCTCTCAGAGAGCCCAGCAAGCTACCGAGAGTATCCCGCCCACATGGCAGAGCCTGGTAAGCTCCCCATGGCGTATTAGATATGCCCAAAACAGTAACATCAAGTCCCACAATGGAGACATTACTGGTGCCCACTTGAGCAAATTGGTGAACAATGGGGGGAGAACAATGCTAACAGTGCAGTGCATTTCTGTTCTACTTCCTAAATAAATCTGCTTTTTCAGAATGACATTTTCTGAATCTGATTTGCCTTTTTTTTCCAGCTCTTGTATGAATTTCTTACAGAATAAATCTTGAAAAAGTACTCTGTGCTCAATTGCATTTTGTGTAGTAACTCCTTGCTCTAATTCATCACAAAGAGGAATCAATTAATATTTGATGCTTGATGGTCACATGAACAACTGGATTATGTGTACTGTTTCTCAATTTGGTCATTAAGGTGGTTTAAACAAGTGAATTAAGTGTTCCATTATTTGGGGGGTTTTTTTGTCATTTTAATGATGAAATGATATTATCTCAGAAGTGAAAAATTCTAAGTAAAATGACTTTTTAGTTACAGACAAAAGTATGAATCTGACTCTAAACCATTCTTTTCCCTTATAATTTATATGTTATCTTTTATCTCCAATTCCAATAACCAAAGATTCATCTTCCCAGAGTCCAGTTACAAGTCTCTGCCTATAAGTCTTTATTTCTTTTGTAAAAGTGTAGTAACTTTTCTTTTTCATTTGTCATTGGGTCTATATCATTGTGTCTATTTCATTTGCCATTGTGTCTATATAGACTTTTTTGATGCTATGTAATTTTTATAATTTGTTACATAAATCATGTGTAAGATCCTCTTATTCAATTATAATCATTTATTCTATTTCTTAACACGTTCTCTCTCTTCTTTCATATCCTCTGATTAGACCAAATCATTTGTCCAATCATGACCTTCTTTCTATGATCTTTTCACTTTATATATTATGTTGTTGGGTGAGTAGAGAGATAGAGACCAAGAGATAGTTGATAAATTAACTTTTTACAGAAATTATTTAATATTATCTGCTATCACTACAAACATGTCTCGTAGTAATGTTTTCCTTGTATCATCCCATTATGAATACATTGATCCAATATTTCTAGTAAATGAGAGGTGCTTATATTTGAACCACTGTGTTTGTGCTTTACAAAGTTATATCTCTTTTTTCTATAACCTTAGTCTCTGATTCTAAGCTCTTAAAAAGAGAAACTGATATTTATTAAACACATCCTAAGCAGTGTCTAGTGCTATCATCAGTATATAATCAATTAAAGCATCATTTATGCCAGTTAACAAATTTTAACATATATACAAAACATCTGAAACCAGGAACAATACACTTTTTTAATTTTGTCGGTGTATTTATTCACCTTTGCTAGTGAAAACATATTAAGAAAAATTGACCCCTTCTATAATTCAAAGGATCTTGTTAGATCAATGATACTTCCATTTAGCAAAATGTGATGTCTCATGATTTTTATAACAATTTGCATAATTAGGAGGAATTCACTTTGATTAACATAAGAGTAGTGAATCACACAATACATCATAATGAGACACAAGAGAAGTCTGTTGATATTTTTAATCTAAGTTTCCAAAATAGATAATTTAGAAAACAAAAAACATTTACAATTTTCCTGATGCTTATCATTTCAAGTTTTACTCTTATAGTTATAAGCCATGTGCATTCCAAATTTCCTTCTCTGCTTGCCGTAGCCGCACTCTCTTTTGCCCAACATTTTAAATCTTCAATAAAATATAAATGAGCAACAGCTTCTTGCTAACCACAAATTCCCCTTCTTGTTTTGCTTTGTCTAAATGTTCTTCTTGCATGCCCAAAGGACTATCTCTTCCTGCTTGGCACAGTACTAAATTAGTTTGAATCACATTATTCTTACATTCAGTGTACCTGCATTATGATTCCAAGGGTAATTTGTGTCCTTTAACCATAGTGTGCTTATCATCAATGCTTCAAGGGACTGCAATCTGGCCTTGATTTTGCTCGGTTCATCAAGGCTGCTTGTGGGTAGAGTTATTCACTGACACAATGTTGGTTTCAATCCTATGACAATTCAGAAAGCTATTTCTCAACCATGCCAGCAACTCCTAACAGTGCTGGGTTGTTATTTTATTTTTAAATCACATTGACAAGTCTATGTTGATGCAAAAATGTGAATCTATTCTTTCCCCCATTAAGCTCAAAGAAGGTAAATTTTCTTATCATCTCTCCTTGAAATTCAATTCTTGAGCTAAAAATTCAGCCCTTGTGCACGGGCTAAAAAAAAAGTGTATACTGTTTCTGTGTATTTTTTCAAGTATTTTTTAAGCATTTACTTTTCACTATCTCATTAAAATATTCAGGGCTGGAGAGACAATATAGGAGGTAAGGCATTTTGCCTTGCATGCAGCTGACCCAGGTTTGATCCCCAATATCTCATATGATTCCCCCACACACTGGGTACAGAGCCAGAAGTAAGTCCTGGAAACTGTCAGGTGCCCCCCCCCCACAAAATACCAAAATAATTACACAAAAAGTAAAATTTAACATTTTTTAAAATAAATGAATAGATAATTTTACCTTCTGTGTTGTTCATTTATGCTTTTATCTTCCCTGGCAATTTACCCTAATGCTATGTAACTGAGTCTGCCAAAAAGACTGATTATGAATCTTCGTTTTGCGCAAAATCTCTACTATGGTGCTGAGACACAACTGTTACAAACCTATTATAGCAATATCTCTGTTACACTCTTTTATAAATAATAAGATCTACTCTGAGACATTATTCATGATCTACAAGTTTGGTCTTGTGGTCAACTCTTTCTCATATTTATTTCTGAGCACTAACTTTTTGCAGCTATCCTCTCAGATCAAAGTCATCGTTAAAAATTTCTGAAAACAATTCACATCTTTCTTAAGTTATTTTAAATTCCTGGTGAAGAGTATCTTGTTTATCTTGAGCACAAGTGTATGCAAACCTCAACTTGCAATCATGTGGAAGAAATTGTAGAAGTCTTTGTTTCACATCACGTGTGGAAAAAGTGTAAGTATGCTTTTCACAGCTAAATTTACTTAAGTTCATTTTGATATGATGACAACACTTCAGAAATGAAGAGTCTTTGTATAGAATGCAGAAGTGGCCAAATTCCAGTCCCTTAAAAATTGGGGGCAAGGATTTTCTTAAGATATTTATCATAGTCCTCACCATTTTATGTCAATGCTTGATCTCAAAAAGACTTGAGCTTTAGATTCAAATTCTCCATATGCCTTTACCTAGATGATATAAGAAAGTTAGTTAGACTAGAACAGCAACATTATTTGTTCCATTTGGCATGTCTTGGGTCTGAGTATAGAGTTTCAGTTCTGGTATTAGGTCCAATAGAAGCAAACACTCCATCAAAACCCTCTATCTTGTGTTTCAACAGTCAGAGGGAGTGTGTGGCACAAAAGTTCTAGAAATTATATAAGCTAAAGGGGCTAGCAGGAGGTATGGAGTGGGAGAGAGAGAGAGAGAGAGAGGAGAGGTTAAGAACACCAATCACATATATTTTCTTAGATAATCTTTTTTTAAAATTTTTATTAGTAAAACACCATGAGGTACAGTTGTAGACTAACAATTTTTTTGTGCTTGGGTTTCAGTTATACAATGATTGAGTACCCATCCCTCCGCCGGTGCCCATTCTCCACCTCCAGTGCTTCCAGTATCCCTGCCACCCACCCCCATACCCCCTATTCCACTCCACCCCTGTGGCAGGGCATTCCCTCTAGTTTTCTCTCTCCTTTTGGGTGCTGTGGTTTGCAAAAAAGGCATTGAGTGGCAATCATGTTCGTTCTATAGTCTACTTTCAGCGTGCATTTGTCATCCTGGGAGGATCCTCCCAATACCCTTTATTTGGTGTTCCCTTCTCTATCTGAGCTGCCTTTTCCCCTAGCATGTAAAGTATCTATCCAAAGTGAATCATTGAAGTAACATTTTTCCAGAAAGTAATATTCAAAAAAGTCATACCTGGTCTATAACATAGAAAATAACACAACAGTGAGTGGATTCAGTGATGAAATTTGTGAATTAAAAAGCACAAAAATTGTTACACTGACTACTTCCACTTGAAGGCAATAACGCAGAAGATTACAGAGATTATTCTGCTTTTGAGAACAAAGCTCCCAATGATTAGGATCTCACCCATCCTGATTCTAGTGAAGGAAACAGACATGCTTTCTAACAATTAAAATGCATATATTGCATGAGTTTGATACTAACTGTGAGTAGAAACTGCAGGAATAATCTTAAGAAGTATCTTGAAACACGATCAATTCATTAAAGAAAGGAAAGCCATATGAGGCATCCAGAAAAAAGAAATAAATTACACAAAAACTCTATTGTACTTAAAGAAAAGCAGAAATTTCCCTAAACCTGTAGTTTTGGAAGGGTGGGAGACTAGCAAAAGGAAGAATGAAGACAAAGGGTAATAAGTAGACTTTTTAAAGCAGAGGAGGAAGTCTGGATTTTATCTGATAGGAAATGAGAGTCTTTGATGTTTGTTATTTATAGTATTTATTCTTTAAAAATTCTATGACCATAGCTGTTTTCTAAGGAAACCAGAGTAAGCAAAATGAAAAAAAGAAATTGTGCCTTTCTGGTTTTACTAAACAAGGCTGATTGGTTTTAAGATACAGAAGGGAAGTTAACTAAACTACTCTGAGAAAAAGGCGAAAAATTTGGTGTTCTTACATTAGAATATTCAGAACAGAGATATGATAGAAAAGGGGAAAAAAGCCAATAAATGTCCACCTACTGAAGAAATATAAAGGCTATTTTAAGATTAGTATCTCTTTACTGTATTTGAAATTGTGTTGTTAATTTTTAATCCACTCCAGTCTACATCAAATCTCCAGTCTACTGAACTTTGTATTTCAGTATTTTAGTGTCTGAAGAGAAAAAAAAAAGGAGGGTGGGCTTAGTGGAATCTGACACATTAAAGTAGTAGGACCCAAAGGTTAAGGTGATTTGAAAACTTAACTTACATCATAGGCACTTGTTAAACTCTTGGGAAGTTTTGGTCACCAGATCACCAGAACTGAGGGGAAGAAAGTGTTTTTACAAGCTCTATCAACATGGCAAGTAGAGGAAGCAGAGATCTAAGTGCCGTCTCAGCAGGTGTCAAAGGGAGAGAGGAAGATAACCTGTGCCACTGAGGCCACGGAACACAGGACTTCACATCTGCTTGGTATGCGCTGTATCTCCAGATTCAAAGTAGGTTTTTCAGTAGGAGAATGCAATTATTTGGCATTGCCAAATTTACTATGTTGAGAAACATGGGAGTTGGGAAAACATACAAAATTTTAGGCCATGAAGTAGTATATCCATGGATACTCTTGACATTGAACCAATAGAAAGTAGTGTGGAGGCCAAAGTGGTTGTCAGAAAGCATATCTAACTGGATTGAGCAAGCCACTAGGGATAGAAAATGCAGGAGGGCAAAAAGGCAGAGAAGAGAAGTGATAAAGTGGATTTAGCATGTGTTGAGTATGAAGTGACTGCGATAAAGGAAAATACAAAGGCCCCCTTGGAAGTTGTTTATTTGCTTAAAGTGAATTTGTAGTCATTAGTGTTGGTTTACTAAAAGTGACAGAATAAGATTTCTTATTCCCTCTTACTAGCTTCTGTGGTTCTCACCTGACTTTTATCTTCCTTCTTTCCTCCTTTGCTCCTTTCCTTCTCCCCTGTCTTTCTTTCTTCTTGCTTCCTTGCTTGTTAATTTCCAGAAAATTTATTAGAAAAAATAAAAATTATCATGCTGTTCAAAACGTTTTCTAAATTAGCTTTTGAAAATTCGTGTACACATTACATTTATATAAAACTTGATAAAAACATTTATATGAAAGGGATTGTCACTATTTTGATATACTGATAATATGCTTTGTCTATTTGCTTTAATTCTTACTGATGAAAGGAAAGTTGTTCCTGTCATAAATATTTTATTTTATAGACATTATAGTTCTTATATCATTTCTGTCTTGAGGAGAAATTATTCTGAAAGCTATTCTGCTATTCTTATATATTAACAATAATTTGATTTCCCCTATAATAATAATAGAAAAGTTCTTCTTTTTTCTATTATTCTGTCTAAAGTCATTTTCATATTAACGCAGACTTTTCCTGATCTTCTGACTTTGTATTAACCAACTATAGTTACCTGATACGAACTTGTCATCTATCATCTGTAAGTTCTAGTTATTATTTGGTGATATTATAGTTATCTTAAGGTTGTTTAGTAAATGTTCCATTAGAATTATTTAATATGTGAGGTTTGACATATTTTATAAAGAGAGAGAAAAATTTTTTAAAAATACTAAAATCATTGTCTGAGGCTAAAATACACAAAGTAATCATTGCTTTTTCCTTTAAAGTATAAGAGAATAAAGTATTTATTAGCATTTTGGTTTAATTTTCTTCTAATTTAAAAAATAAAATAAATTAATTTTAAGTTATTTAAAAATTAGAATATTTTAAAACACTTTTTAATTTTAGCATAGTTTTTGTATTTAAATTTTATATATTTATTAACATTGTTTATAATATTTTCCATATTGTTGTTTTATATTTATATTGATACTTGAACACCATCAACCAGAGTACCAATAATCACTATCCTAAGACCTCCTCTACCACCCACTCTTAAAGATTTAATTTTGAACAAAAGATACGTACTTGCTGATAAGATAATATAGTAAACATGTCTGCATAAGGCATTAACTTCTATTCAAAACCATAAAGAAATTGGTGGTAGTAATTATTAAATCTTATTGAATAAAAATTAAAAGCATTAATGATTAAATAAATGAATTTTCATTAATCTCCTAAACATTAGTATCTCCACAGAAAGCTGACTTTTAAGCACTGTGCTTCATTCCCGCCCCCAGAATATCAATATCTGTAGATGCATTCTAAACATTTGTAATGCTAACAACTAATATTGATTTTTTTAAAATCTGAGAGGAACACAGCCCATTACAATAGTTTCATATCTTCAAATCTCTAATTAAAATGTTTTTTATTATTTAGTTGATGCAAAAATAGAGCAAAGACAATTGAGATGCTTTATAATCATGTATATTTTGAGAAATATTTATTCTGGAAAAAATACATTTTAAAATATTATTCACTACTTAAAAGTCATCATCTATGTCCTTTAGCTAAAAATCTAAATTTGACTATAATTTATTTATATTATTGTATTATTTTATATTATTGTAGTAATACCATTATTAATTATTAATTGTATTATACATTTTCCTGAAAAATTCAAAGCATTTTATTATATGCATTACACAAATCAAAAATACTTATTGAGACAACAGATACTCACAGAAATTGAAAGACAGAAGTGGTATTTTTTTTCCCATACAAAGAACTCTCAAGAAATATTCCCCATCTCACATGAAGCTGGTAGTCAAACTAGAAAAAGAAACTATAGTGGTCCAGTTAAGAGATCTACTTCTGAGAACACATTATTTTTAAAACTTTTGCCATTGATGTATAGGAATATTCAAAATTGTCTGCTTTGAGAAGGGAACTCTTACCATTTGCCTAACGGTGAACAAATTCTCCACAATGAAAGCTAAGGTCTTATAACTAGAACCTCTTCCAAAAGGCTTTCATGAAAAGGTCACTGCCATTCACGCTCACTCCTCTCTCTCCTTTGTATATTTATATGTGTCACTCAGCACCCTTCCTCCTGCCTGGAAAGCCATCAAGAACTTTTATCCTAAGAGTCAGTTGCCAGTTCTGTTTAATGAACAGTCAGCAGGATTCTAGAGAACCATGAGTATAAGCCTGTCTGTAACTTTTTTCTCAGATTAAGAATGCCATTACTTCAAAAGCTAACCAATACGCATATAAACTTTGTCAGTCTTGTATCTAATAGCCCGCCCTGAAAGCCGATTCCTGGGTATCCAAAAACTTCTTTAACTATATCAATTTATTTACACTTATCGAGGTTTATCAGGACAAGGCAAATCAGTATTTCTTCCTTTTTACTTTGCTATTACCTTGCCCAGAATGTGGATCCTGGAGATACTAAAATGTTTGGTTAGAATTCCAAGTAAAGGACATAAATTTACAGAGCTTTCAAACATCTTCTGTTGTTTCACTCCTCTCTCCATACTTCCCTTAAGTTATTATCATATTTGGCAAGATGGAATTCAATTCCACTTAAAATGATGGAATAATTAAGCAGTCATCTAATGCTTGGATTCTATACGCTCTTAGAAGCATAGTTAAATTTAATCAGATACTAGACCATAAAATTAATAGTTCTACATTTGGAACTAAAACAGATTTTTGAATTTTATTTGACATTTTACAAGTGAGTTAAAATAAATACATAGAAAAACACCAGGTCCATTAACCCCAAATATTTAAAGGTTATATTTCACATCTTATGGCTCTACAGTTTTACAAATTGCTTTTTATACTTTAATTTTAATTTTTTAAGTTAGTATTTAATTTTGTGTTTACAAATCATACACAAATTATGCAAAAGAAAGTAGTTAATTGGAATATAAGAAGAAGTAATATGTCAAAAGTTTAAAGTTAATAAATTAAAAAACAATATGGTGTATATTGAGGCTATTATGACTTTTGGAGTTCAAGCATGTCTTAACTTATACTAGGAAATTTCAGTTTTATCAACTTTTTAGATTTGACTCCCTTTATTTTTATTTTTTATATCTGTACTAGAAAAATTGCATTATTACATTACACAAAATTGCAGATGCATTAAAGACATGGAATATTATTTCATTCAAATTTAGTACATCTTTGTTTCTACCCCACGCAAATGATCACATTGCAAAATAATTCACTCTAAACTTTTTATATTATTGCTTAATTCTTCATTAGGCTTTAATACATTGGAAAGCCTTTTCGTATACAATCTCCAACTCTAATCTTACAGTATCCCAGACCTATCCTCAACTACAATTTCATTCTTCATTTTGCAGTCTCAGTATATGAAAAAGAACTGTAAATTTTGGAGGCGACATAATCCAAAATCTAGATAACCAAACTCTTTAAAATTTCCTTTTAACAATTTGCCCATTTTGACAAGTAAGTGTGGGAGTCAGTTTGTTCTTATCAGTTTTAAGTGTGACTCTCAATTTCATGAGTCAGGCATTCACTCTTGACTTTTTATAGAGAAAAGAGAAATTTTTTCAATCATCCATCAAATTAGATGAAACCCACTTTACTCATTCCTCTTTGTGTTTAGTGGAATTGTCAATAGACACTTTTCCGTTTACTACATTGTGGCAGTTATTTTGAGAAACACAAATTCTACCATATACTCTTGTTTTATATAGTCTTTAGAGAAGTTTGTTTAAGTTTAAGTTGATATTTTATTGTAATTTGTATATAGAATTATCTATACTAACCAATATGGCAGTAGCAAAGAATAGAAATAAGATCAACTTTCATGAAAGAAAATTTTAGTTTTCAGGCCGGGAAATAATCTATGGTATAATGTCTGTCTTACACACATAAGGCTATAATTTCTGTTTTCTACTATCATCTCACACCAAGTTTGATCCTGGTATCACTGCCTATTGTGATCTCTGATGTCACAAGTGCTAGATTTCTGCTACACTGTAACCAACTGGGTGTAAGCAGCATAACTAAAGTGTGTTGGTCCCATATTGTAAACAAGTACTTGACTACACATCATCACAACAATAACAAAGGGAAAGGAGGAGGAAAAAGTGAAGGAGAAAAATTTCACTTCCCAATATATAAAAAAAGACAAATTATGGAATGTGTGGAGGAAAAACTAACATATATTGGCACTAATACCGACCCTGTGTCACTAGACACAGCTGAGTCTATACTTCTAAAAATAATGCTAGTTAATTTATTAATTTTTTAAAGTATAAAAATATGCTAACTAAAAGCAAATATTTGAAAGCGATTTAAAGAGAAATCTCTCACCTCTTACCATTTTAATAAAACGTCTCCAATTGATCATTTTAATCTTGTAGATTTTAAGTTTTTTCAATTTTTTTTACTATTGAAGCTATCTCTATAATAAAAATTTTCAGAAATAATTTATTTGTTGATATTTACATTTAGGAATATATTCTTAGTTTAAACTGTCAACTGTGAAATAAATGGGAATGGTAGTACAAATGCTAAAAAATAAAAATATTATGGAAATGTTAAATAAACAAGACTTTAATTTAGATATAGTATTAGTAAAACCATTATTCTTTTACTCTCAGTGCAGAAAAAATTTCTTTTTTTTCATTTTTTATAATTTTATTTACTGAATCACCGTGAGAGCAGTTACAAAGCTTTCAGGTTTAAGTCTCGGTCATACAATGAAACACCCGTACCTCAGTGCCCATTCCCCACCCCCAACAACCTCAGTATACCCCCATCCCACACGTTCCCCCTACTAGTGGGTCAGATGATTTCCACATTACTCTCTCTCTACTTTGATCACATTCAATATTTTGACACCAGACCCACCATTATTATTTGAGATTTTGCCCTAACACTCATATCTGCTGAAAAGGCAATAGTAGACAATTTGTTTTCTATTGCTGGTAATGAAAAACATATGATGTCGTGTGATTACAGTAGTGGCTGTGTGATTTTGAAATTCTGAAATTTTAGCACTTAAATCTGGAGGGATTTCTGCCAAAACCTGCTGGGTTCCGAGATTTGCTCCTGAGTCTCTGGAACCATGGCCATTAAGCAGCTTGATCAGGAGCCAGAGAGGCTGTTCGTGGGCGATGACTTAGGGTCTCACTGGGGTGGGGAGAACAGAACCGGCTCCACCCCCATCGTGTGAGGCCCAAAATGTCTCATCACTGCAGGCCCAAACCTGACTGTCCAGTGGCCTCTGGAGGATGACAGCCGCCACCGAGTGGCCAGGGGGAAGCAGGCAGAGGGACAACACCCTTTCCCCCCTGGGGTGGTCCAGCGACAGTAACCTACTTTGTGGTCCGGACGCATTTCTGCCAAAAGCCACTTGGTTTTGAGATTTGTTTCTGAGTCTCTGAGATCATGGCCATTAAGCAGCTTGATCAGAAGCCAGAGAGGACGTTCGCGGTTGATTACTTGGGGGTCTCATTGGTGTGGGGAGGAAACGACCAGCTCCACCCCCACCCCGTGAGGTCCAACATGTCTCGTCACTGCAAGCCCAAGCATGACTGTCCAATGGCCTCTGGAGGATGACGACCACCGAACCACCTAGGGGGAGCAGGTGGAGGGACAGTACCCTTTCCCCCCTGGGGTAGCTTAGAGACAGAAGTTTTCTTAAATAAACACAGCTCCTTGGGAGAAAAATTCTATGGATAACCATTTTTTTAAAAATTTTATTGAATCACCATGAGATAGTTGCAAGGTTTCATGTTGGGTTACAGTCACACAATGATCAAACACCCATCCTTCAGCACGCACATTGCCCACCACCAGTATCCCTGGTATAACCCCCCTTTCCCACCCTACCCCGTCTCCACGGCAGATATAATTCCCCATAACCTCTCTCTACTTTTGGGCATTATGGTTTGCAATACAGACCCTGAGAGGTTACCATGTTTGGTCCTTTATCTTCTTTCTGCACACATCTCCCATCCCAACCGATTCCTCCAGCCGTGTTTTTCTTAGTGATCCCTTCTCTATTCCAGCTGCCTTCTCCCCTTTGCTCATGAGGCAGGCCTCCAGCTATGGAGCTATCTATATGTCCCATGTATCTACTTTTATTAGGTGTCAGCCTCATGTTATGTTGTTTTATACTCCACAAATGAGTGCAGTCCTTCTATGTCTGTCCCTCTCTTTCTGACTCATTTCACTTAGCATGATACTCTCCATGTCTATTCATTTATAAGCAAAGTTCATGACTTCATCTCTCCTGACAGCTGCATGGTATTCCATTGTGTAGATATACCAAAGTTGTTTTCTTTTTTTATTTTTATTAGTGAGACATCATGAGGTACAGTTGTAGACTTACAAATTTTTGTGCTTGGGTTTCAATTATACAATGATCCATACCTCCACCAGTGTCCATTTCCCAACACCACGGATCCCAGTATCTCTCCCACCACCCATCCCCCCCATCCCACCCTGCTCTGTGGCAGGGCATTCCCTTTTGTTCTCTCTCTCTTATTGGGTGTTGTGGTTTGCAAAAGACACAATGGGTGACAATCATGTTTGGTCTATAGTCTACTTTCAGCATGCTTCTCCCATCTTGGGAGGATCTTCCCAACACCTTTATTTGGTGTTCCCTTCTCTATCTGAGCTCCCTTTTCCCCTAGCATGTGTGGTTGGCCTCCAAGCCATGGAGTAAAATTCCTTGAAGTTTTTTTAAACAGTCATCTGTTCTAGGGCACTTGGGTTGACTCCAGATTTTGGCTATTGTGAACAGTGCTACTTTACAGCCAATACCATAGCATTACATTCTGAAAGTCT